TCAGAAACGCTCCAAACCAACGCGTGCCGAGCCCTGTCCCCACCCCCTACCAAAAGGTTACATCACCAAACCACAAAAGTTACTTCCATCTGTTTCGTAAGGTAGAGGATGATTAAAGGCAGGTGATTGCAAATGCTGAGAGATAACATGAGTAATGATTTGAAAATCATCTTTATCTGGCGTCCATGTCACCAAAGCTACCTTCAAGCCAATTTTCTAACGATTAAAAATTTGGCAGGATTCTGGATCTTCAAATTGCCAATCTTGAAATTATTTGCTATCATACAGAGGGTTTATTTTTATTTTGAGACACCAAAACAGGGGTGTTTCACGTTTTGTCTTTGAACATCCTATCCATTTTTGTTCGAATGATTTAAGCACAGATTCCTTCCAAGGTATATGTAGTGTTATCTTTTCTGTTTTAGCATCGGAAAAACCGGCTCATTTCTTTTGGCCACTCTAAATTACCTGTTGCCGAAGATTCTTGTGCATATTGGATGGTGAGGCGGTATGTGACATCGTTGATCGTTTTCGCCTTTCCGTTGCAAACCTGAAGAAGTTTGTTTGCCATTTCTCACAGCGAATTTGAAACTTATTTACCTTATAAGACTTCGCAGTTCCCTATTCATTGCTGCATAGAATATCCAATTTCCAGCGGCGTTTGCATATGTTAGCCAATTTGCAAAAAATATTGCCCATCGTAGGGTTCTGCAATGGTTTTTTTTGATACTGAAAGGTAAGCAGGTACAATGCAAGACCGCTTACCTAAAATCCGTGAAATTCTTGAAAAATCGCACAGTGGTGAGCAACTCCGAGACAAGGCTCATATCAGGAAGAAATTGAATTAGGCAGGAGGGCAGCCAGCAGATCACATGGAAGATGAATACCCGAATAATAGCATTGGTCATCTCCTTCATATAGCGAGGCTCCGACACTACAGATTCTCTAGCGCGAGAATGAGCGACTACTGTAAATAACAACAGAAATGTAAACAACATAAAATTGGACACTTAGGGAATAGAAATGATAATATTAGTTGACATAGGACATTTCTCATAGACTAAAAAATTAGGAATCGCAACCAGCCAACACGTCGAAGTCACCACTACTGTATGTAAAACTTTTGATTTACCTATAATACTGGCAACTAACGTAACTCTGAAAGAAAAACAAAGTCAATTTTACAAGTTCCTTTCAAATTCTTCAAAATTTTAGTTCTCAAATCGAGAATGGTCTTTTCATTCAGAGGAATCAAAATTCATATCAATAATTTCCGTCACAGTCTACAGAAATCATTGTCATCGTATAACTACGTATTTTTGTGGTATAACAGGGCCTAAACTAAGAAAAGATGCAAGAAACTTGGTTGCTGGATCATTTATTGAGCAAGACAATTTGTCAAGATAGATACTTGTTACACTTAATCACATCTCTTAATTGTGTGATTAGGTGTAACATAAACTCAGATTTTCACTGAGATATCGAACAAGCTCACACTAGTTTATGTATATCAACATAAAATTTCTCTGTTAAAGGCACCGTCTACCCGAATTCTCGACTTCCATATTTTTGTCGCTGTCAGGCCTTCT